TGTTATTGTTCTGTTCAAAAATGAAGAAACTCCGAACGAACAGACATACAAGACATCTTGGATTGGAAATGAAAGTCAAACAAACAAAGTATTTCATGCATTTCAGGTTGGTTACAACCATAGCTGTGCATTCTTATTATTCTATCAATTACAGTTTCACAATTACAGTGATATTACACTATTCTAATTTCTTTATTGATTACATAGTTTCAGAATTATGGCTGTATACTGGTGTAATAAGTGCATTTCAACCATAAGGATACAAACTCGAAAGAACAAGAAACAAGAGTCGAGTGTTTTGCTCTCAGTGAGGAGGAACAAGCAGTTTATCACATGCAGAGCGGAGAGTGCGGGTCGGGATGTCGGGTTGGACCAGGTCCTGGATGTAAGCTGGACCCCATCCATTCACAGCATGGTACGTGAGCACCATGGTTAGAACTGGATGAGCCACCGGTACCAGTGAAGAGAGCGGAGGAGTGGAGGAGTGAGGGAGAACTTAGGAAGGTTAAAGACCAGTGGAGCTGCTGCATTCTGGATGAGCTGCAGAGGTGGAATGGTGGTAGCAGGAGACCTGCAGGAGACAGTTACAGTAGTCCAGGAGGGAGACGACAAGAGTCTGAATCAGTACCTCCTTCTGAGTGAGAAGAGGACGTGTTCTCCTGATGTTGTAGAGCGTGTATCTACAGGATGGTGTTGTCAGTGATGTTGGAGTCAGGGAGAGTCGGCTGTCGACGTCACGCTGAGGTTCCTGCAGTCAAAGTGGACGTTAACACAGAGTCTCAAAGTTAACAGTCAAGTTCTGTGTAGGAGAATCTTTTCCCGGAAAGAGAAGTAGTTCAGTCTACATATTCATTTTACAGAATATATCTTTCGGACCTCTACTCAATCAGAATGGTGTGTACTACACATCTACAAAAAAAGTATTCCGACCACATGTCCGACTGTCGGGCAGCCCTCCCGACATGCAAGGGCAGGCAATGGCCCGTTCATCAGCTTTAATTATTATCTTTTATCGTTATCATACCCCAAAAATTTGACATGCATACCAGGTCTGGTAAAAATCTTTTATATTTTTTGGGTCTCATATTTGGGTATAAAGAAATGTCCCCATTGCGCCCCCTAGAAATTTGAAAAGTAACACAGTAGCCCATTTTTCCCCCTGATGCACGATTGACTTGACATTTGGCCCAAAATTACCTGGCCCAGTTCTGGCTTGAGCTTGGCACGCCGGAAGAAACACGTCGGGCCGAGTCCAGGCTCGGGATGAATGACACCCCAGAATCAGGCCGAATACACCGCCCCGATTCCGTCATACATTGCCGTCACTGGGCCATAATCTAAGAAAAACTGGGCCTGAACCCGGCGGTACAAAAGAAATGAGTTTGACGTGATCCGGTTGCCATCTCAGACCGGTTCCGGTTCGGTATGAATGACGCCCCAGAATCAGGTTGAATATTTTCTTCGTGTCGAATATGTATAAAATCAAGGCAGTCAAGATCATATCGTTTGGTGATAAAAAATATGTTCATATCCAGAAAAGAATTTGTAGAAAGCACAGTGTTAAAAGGGTCAAATTACATTAAATTAGAATAATTAGAACTATACTGCCATACAAGACAACTGGTAGCGACCTTTCATTCTGGCAAAAATCCAGAGATTTCAGCCTGGTAGAAACAGATACAAGAAAGAGTTGTGAGATTTTATACATCTTGTTATATTTATTTCATGGAAGAGGATACATGTGTTTATTAAGCAATAAATAATGACAGTTTATGAATAGAGACGTTTGTTTTCTGGTTCTTTCATCCTAAATCGAACGGTTAGACCCAAGAGGTCAAAGGGCCCAGATAATAAGAAATAATGTTGGTCAAATGCTGTGGTGTGAGGGAAATGGCTTTATGGAATTCATACATTTTGACCATAGAATATTTTATATTTTTCATTTTTCTCACTAGACAAGAACAATAAAGAAATTCATTCTCTTTTCTTGATTGCTATACCTTCCATGTGACCCTCAGAGTGATCTCTGGAGCTGTGCACATTGGGTTAGGAAGCATTGCAAAGACTACCTGCTCTTTAGCATGTTGTTAGCATGTTGCACACACCAGCATGACACTGTTACAGAACATGTATTTCCTGCCAAATAACACTAGTTAACTGCTGAAGCCTGTTTTGGGAGGAGGGTTTTAAGTTTTAAAACTGTTGAAAACTGTGACCGTGAAAGATGTGCACAAGTTTACTCTGCATCTCCTTGTACTGCCTCACTGTCACTGAAGCAACACAATACGTGGAAAATAAATATCAGAGCTAAGAGTAACAGGTGGGCTACTGTTGTGCTACTACTAACACACATTCCATCGGACCAGGATTCATTATTTATATTGATTAATTAACTTTTCTTCTAATGTTACCATGGTAACCGCATTCATCACAGAGGGATTTCTAGCATACAAACGTTCCATTGCGTTGACTCTTACTGTGAAAATCTACGTACTGGCGGTTTAGCGTATTTTGGTTTTGTAGGCAAAACCCAAAAAGGGATTAATGCAGTAAAAAGTTTCTGTCTCGTTTTTGGTTCTAAACGAAAATCGCTAAAACGGGCGCCCACTTCCGTACGAAAAACGAGAAAACAAAAGGTACACAAACCTCAGTCTACAGTACTTACTGAACAGTAACTGCGTTGTCGCAGGCAGAGGTGGTGCAAATTTATTGTGCTTCTCCCAAAGTGCAAACAAGTGGAAACAACATTATATTCACAGGAAACTCTTGGACAAATCATTTTTTTTTTAAAGTCACCATTTCTTTGTTCTCTAAATGGATTTCTCCCTCTGCCCACCACGGGCCACACGAAACAAAGCAACTAACCCTTCCATCCTGAGGAGGTTCCTTTAAAAACCCTAAGCCACACCGTGTGCGTCTATGTGTGCATATCTATGTGTGTGCGAGTGCTGTGTGTGCAGCCAGCAATGGCCACTTCTAAGGTGTGTGGGTTAATATGACCCGCATGACTTCCAAAGGAATTGTCCTGCCCTCGCCAGCAATTTGATATATCGCACCCCTGAACAGACCCTTATTTTGTATATATTATATTATATTTCAGGAATCAGGAAACATTTATTGCCAAAATATGTCAAACATACAAGGAATTTGTCTTGGCGGTTGGTGCGTGACAGTAGACAGTGTAACAATAGACAACAGCGCACAAGTAATAAAATAAAGTAAAATGAAATGCTAATGCAATGCGTTAGTAGAATAAGGCTATGGGTTAGTGTAAAACAAGATAATAAAATTAGAGTTAAAAATTTAAAATATTAAAAAAGTTAAAAAAATATTAAGCATAAAGTGCACTAGCGAACAAGTGACAAAGTGACGAGTGACGACAAAGTGATAAATGACAGTTAAAGTGACATGTGCAGTGTGAAGGGAGTGACCGGTGGAATGTTATAGTCAGTCAGAGGGGGACCGGCTCTGTTGATGAGCCCGACTGCCGACGGGAAGAAACTGTTGGTGTGGCGGAAGGTCTTGTGATTGGTACTGTAGATTAGTACTTATAGAATAATACTGTTGGATCAGTACTGTAAATTAGTACTTATAGAATAATACTGTTGGATCAGTACTGAAGAATGGGTACTGTAGATCAGTACTTCTAGAATAATACTGTTAGTTTGGCAGTACTGATGGATTGGTACTGAAGATTAGTACTTCTAGAATAATACTGTTGGATCAGTACTGTAGAATTAGTACTTCTAAATGATACTGTTGAGATCAGTACTGATGGATTTGTACTGTAGATCAGTACTTCTAGAATAATACTGCTGGATCAGTACTGATGGATGGGTACTGTAGATTAGTACCTCTAGAATAATACTGTTGGATCAGTACAGATGGATTGGTACTGTAGATTAGTATTTATAGAATAATACTGTTGGATCAGTACTGTAGATTAGTATTTATAGAATAATACTGTTGGATCAGTACTGATGGATTGGTACTGTAGATTGGTACCTCTAGAATAATACTGTTGGATCAGTACTGATGGATTGGTACTGTAGATCAGTACTTCTAGAATAATACTGTTGGATCAGTACTGTAGATTAGTACTTCTAGAATAATACTGTTGGATCAGTACTGATGGATTGGTACTGAAGATTAGTATTTATAGAATAATACTGTTGGATCAGTACTGTAGATTAGTACTTCTAGAATAATACTGTTGGATCAGTACTGATGGATTGGTACTGTAGATTAGTACCTCTAGAATAATACTGTTGGATCAGTACTGATGGATTGGTACTGTAGATTAGTATTTATAGAATAATACTGTTGGATCAGTACTGTAGATTAGTACTTCTAGAACAATACTGTTGGATCAGTACTGATGGATTGGTACTGTAGATTAGTATTTATAGAATAATACTGTTGGATCAGTACTGTAGATTAGTACTTCTAGAATAATACTGTTGGATCAGTACTGATGGATTGGTACTGTAGATTAGTATTTATAGAATAATACTGTTGGATCAGTACTGTAGATTAGTACTTCTAGAATAATACTGTTGGATCAGTACTGATGGATTGGTACTGTAGATTAGTATTTATAGAATAATACTGTTGGATCAGTACTGATGGATTGGTACTGTAGATTAGTACTTCTAGAATAATACTGTTGGATCAGTACTGATGGATTGGTACTGTAGATTAGTACTTATAGAATAATACTGTTGGATCAGTACTGTAGATTAGTACCTTCTAGAATAATACTGTTGGATTGGTACTGTAGATTAGTACCTCTAGAATAATACTGTTGGATCAGTACTGATGGATTGGTACTGTAGATCAGTACTTCTAGAATAATACTGTTGGATCAGTACTGTAGATTAGTACTTCTAGAATAATACTGTTGGATCAGTACTGATGGATTGGTACTGTAGATTAGTATTTATAGAATAATACTGTTGGATCAGTACTGATGGATTGGTACTGTAGATTAGTACTTATAGAATAATACTGTTGGATCAGTACTCTTACTTGCCGTCGCACCTCCTTTCCTCCCTCCCTGCACAGGCCCCTCCTCCTCCTCCAATCCCAGTGTGCTGACTCAGAGTATACCTCCGGGGCCGTCCTGTTCTCAGTGTGGTCACCAGGAGGCGCTGGAGGCCAATGCCTTGTCATCGGGCGCTGCCTCCCCGGAGGGAGGGGTGGAGTCAACAGACCGCTGCGGCTCCACTAACAGGCCACAACTCAACGACTCTTGGGCCGACCGAGCTGCCGTCTACCCCGAAAACACCAACGAACAAGATCCGACCGCTGGCGCCCGGACCCAAACCTCAGGGTGACAGACTTTATTTAAATTTGAACATCAAAATGTATTTAGTGATTGATGACACCGTATGATCCCTGATCCTTCCCTCTGCAGTCCCCCCGAAGCCAACCCACCTCAAGCAGCAGCCAGGGGCATTGAGGCCACGCCTCGGGGTTCCGGATAAGCCCCTCCCCCTTAACCCGCCCTGCAGAGCCCTTCCAGTCGACCCCCGAGGGGACTGGACTCTGCCCAGCCGCGTCGATGGCACCGCCTCCCCCCCCTGCGTTCTGTCACTCATTGAGAAGTTTGAGCGGTGGGTAGTGATTTTACTGATATTATCATTAAAGACTAAAGATTAAACGAGATGTGAACAGTGTGTGTGTGTGTGTGTGTGTGCAGCGAGCAGATTATTGTAGTTCCTGCCATCACCGGGGGGGCTCTGTGTCACCGCCTCTTCGATCCACCCTCCTCAGCCGACTCTCCCCCACTGGGTGAGGAGCTGCTCTGTGAGCCTGAAGGTCATGATGACCTCACATTGGGCTGTGAGGGGTACTGCGGCCTGCAAGAAGACCACGATGATGATGACGATCACGATATTGATGACGACAATGATGATGATGACCACGATGATGACGCCCACGATGATGATGACCATGATGATGATGACCACGATGACGAGCTTGTGGCAGCATGTCGTGACGACCTTCATCAGAAGCGTCTCTCCATGGAGTCAGGTTATAGCGCCTCAGAAAAACACCTGGAGGAGGACACGGTCGCCGTGGAGATGAGGGAGCAGCCGCTGCCTCTCGACCAGTCGGAGCTCCCCTCGGAGCATCTGTCCCTGCCGTCCTTGCAGACAGAGGGCAAGCTGGCTAATCGGGACAGCGGCATCGACAGCATCAGTTCTCCGTCGCACAGCGAGGAGCTGTGCTTTGCTGGCGTGGACGACGGGGGCGTGGCCTATCCCTGTAGCCCGGCCCTCCTGTCACGCCTCTCTGGCTTGTCCTCGTACGTGGTGGAGGGAGGGGGCGCGTCCATAAGGAGGAGGGACTTCTCTGTGGAGGGCGACAGCGACCTGGAAGATGAGGCGGAGCTAACGCTGGTGCTGCCCCACCCCAAGACCGACAGACAAGACTCTGCTGAGGTGAGACAGGAAGTGAGATGTGACGTCAACTTCAACGACAGGCTCCAATCACACCTTTCGACACACTGAGGACACATGTCCTCATATCCTCTTCTCCACATGTCCTCACGTCCTCATCGCCTTGTCTCCTCATGTCATCATCTGCTTGTGTCCTTGTGTCCTCATATTCACATGACCTTGTGTCCTCAAGCCCCCATCTCCTCATCATGTCCTGATGTGCTTGTGTCTTCATATCCTCATGTCCTCAGGTCACATGACACAACAACGAAACATCAACATGACGTCCTGGAGAAGGACGGTGGCCTGTAAGGGACAAATGTGAACCTTTTGAAAAGACACAAAGTAAAGAGACTGTCTCTTTACCTGTCTCTCTCTGTCTCTCTCTTTGTCCAGCTGTCTGTCCAGCAGAGGGTCTTCAACATTGCTAACGAGCTGCTGCACACAGAGACCGCCTACGTGGCTAAGCTCCACCTCCTGGACCAGGTGAGTCACCGAGAATCTCCTGGTTTTGACAATGGTATAAGGACTCACATAGTACCCATGGCTCATTCTCCCTGTTCACAAGGTAGGTGTTTCTGTCTCGACTCCTGGAGGAGGCTCGGTCTCGCTCCTCCTTCCCCTGTGACGTTGTCCAGGGGATCTTCTCCAACATCTGCTCAATCTACTGCTTCCATCAGCAGTTCCTCCTGCCAGCCCTGCAGAAACGGATGGAGGAGTGGTGAGAGCACCTCCTCCGCATCCTCCTCTTGTCTCTGCCTCCTCTTTCTCATCTTCTAATCTCTTCCTCCTCCTCTCTTCTTCCTCTCCTCCTCAGGGAGTCCAACCCCCGGGTCGGGGACATCCTGCAGAAGTTGGCTCCCTTCCTGAAAATGTACGGAGAATATGTAAAGAACTTTGACCGGTCGATGGAGCTCTTGAACATCTGGACGGAGCGATCAACCCAGTTCAAGACCATCGTGCAGGAGACGCAGGTGAGTGAGAGGGTTAGAGGTTGAAATGGTGAGTGTGTATGTGTATCACAATGTGTGTACCTTGTGTAGAGGGAGGAGCGCTGTAGGAACCTCACCCTGCAACACCACATGTTAGAACCTGTTCAGAGGATTCCTCGATATGAGTTGCTGCTCAAAGATTATCTACACCGGCTGCCCAAGGATGCCCCGGACCACAGGGACGCCCAGAGTACGTAAAACAAACTCACCCATTACTGATGTCTGAAGACGTTTAAAAGGCTATAAAAGACCTGTGATATTGTGATCTTCTCTCTACAGAGTCTCTGGAGTTGATTGCGACAGCAGCAGAACACTCCAACGCTGCCATCAAGAAGATGGTGAGCTCACTCCTCTCTCCGTCTGTCTGTCTGTCTCTGCCACACATCTTTTTGTCTCTACTGGTCTCCCTTTCCACCTGTCTCTGTGTCTCTCTCTCTCACTACATATTTCTTTCTCTCGCCCACCTTTTACCCTACCTGTCTATCCCTCCACCTGTCTCCCCCTCTCTGTCAGGACCGGATGAGGAAGTTGTTGAAAGTGTACGAGTTGTTGGGCGGAGAAGAAGACATCGTAAACCCGACAAACGACCTCATCAAAGAGGGACACATCCTGAAACTGTCCAACAAGAACGGGACCACCCAGGACCGATACCTCATCTTGGTATTCTGCTCTACTTCTATTCGACTGTACTCTATTTGTTTTCTAGTCTAATCTATGTCTTTCCTGTACGCTCCACTCTACTCTTTTTATATTCTACGGTACTCTACTTCTATTCGACTGCACTCTACTCTACTTTCACATCCTTCTAGTCTGATCTGCTTCTATGTGTGGGGACTTCACGTCACGGTTCAACGACTCAAGCCCGTCACGGGGAGCAGTTGAACACAGTTTATTTTTGATCAATTGAGTGTGTAGGAGGATACGCTCCACGCCATGTCACCCCTCGTAACCTTCTCTTACTCGTCCTGCCCGGGTCCTACACAGGGGGGTAGTCAGCCAGTCCAGGTCAATCCCGCCGCTACTCTTACCTTTCGTTCACTCTTCTTTTTCTTTCCTTTCCACAACTATATCTCACTTCGTCTTCTCTATCCCCTCTCTCCTTCTTCCTCCTTGTTCGGTGGTTTGTTCCCCTTCTTATGCTCCCCTTGATGACTCAACTGCAACTCGTTCACAACCTACAAGGCTAACCCTCAACCTCCCCTCCAACACCAACCCCCTCAACCTCCAACACCAACCCCCTCAACTCTGATCTACCACATATGTTACTTTACTCCTACTAAACTCTAATTATCCTCCATTCTACTCTTTTCTATTCTTCTCTGCCTTTACCCTTTTCAACTTACGCTCTACTTATATTTTACTCGACTGTACTTCTAATCTACTCTACCTCTACATATATTATGTTTTAATTCTTCCCCACTCTGCTCTATTTCTACCCTGCTCTACTTTTAGTCGACTCGACTACCCAAAATCGCAAATGACCAATTAGCCTCAGAGGGCTTTATAGTCTGTACACATGCGACATCCTCTGCCCCGAAACCCTCACATCGGTTAGTGGACAGAAAGCACAAATACGCTGTGGAAGAAACAAAGTTAGTGATGCGCATTCATGTTTACAGTGATAGTAACGGGCATAACGGGTGTTAGAGCGGTAGGTGTCAGAAGGGATCTACTCTACTCTGGTGTCATGTACGGGCTCTGCTGTCCTTTGGTCCTTACATCTTTCTGTCCTTACGTTCTTCTGTCCTTACATGCTTCTGTCCTTATGTCCAGACCTGTCTGTCTCTCTCCAGTTTAATGACAGGTTGCTGTACTGTGTCCCGAAGCTGCGTCTGATTGGTCAGAAGTACGGCGTGCGAGCTCGCATCGACGTGGACGGGATGGAGGTAAAGATCGGCCTCTTACACCTGCTCACTTTTCACCTGTACTCTGTCTACCTGTGTTTCCACCCTCTTCTTGCTCTGTCCATTATCATTGTTTCTCTTTGTTCACTTGTCTCACACTGTCCACCTGTCTTTCTCTCTCTGTCCAGCTTAAGGAGACCAGCAGTGTTTCAGCATCCAAGACATTCCTGGTGTCAGGAAAACAGAGATCCCTAGAGCTGCTTGCCAGGTATAGACACAGTTATACAGAATGCAACACTCTTGGAGAGACAGACATCGAGACAGTCAGAGAGACGGACAGACAGACAGTCTGTCATTTGTTCTCTTCTTTCTTTCTCTCTGCAGGACAGAGGAGGAGAAGAACGAC